GGCTGTGGGGAGTTCATTGGGTAGGGATGGCGATGCGGCCAGGACAGAGGGGGATTACGTGGACGACAACTATGGGGATGGATGGTACAAAGTCCTCCAGGTTTTCATACTTCGAAGAATTTCCAGCCATCAAAGAACAGGGAGGAGGAGGAGCAGGAGGACTTGTCGCGTAAAGCCCTCCCAAGGAACGTGGAGATGATGACCTGGAGGACGATGGCAAGAAGGGGATGTGGGGAGGTGGCCGGGTAGGGCTAGCGACACGGTCACAGTGGAGGGGGATGACGTGAACGACAACGATAGGGACGAGGAGGACGACGAGAAGGGTGGGAAGCAGGAGGAGGGGACGTTGGAGGAAGAGGAGGGCGACAACGACAAGGACACCAAGGAAAAGAAGAACACGAGGAGGACGGCGAAGAAGAGGAGGAGGACTAGGAAGAAGAACACCAGGACAGGGATGACGAAGAACACGAGGAGGAGGACAACGACAACGAAGAAGAAGTGGATCGGGCGGCGGAGGAGGAAAGGGAGCAGGAGGGAGCCACGGCGACGGACGCAAATCGTGACACCGCAGCGATGGACATGGAGGAGGAGGAGGAGGAGGAGGAGGTGGAAGAAGAGGACCGGACGAGGAAGAAGAAGAGCAGGAAGAGGATGACAAAGGAGGAAGAGGACAAAGAGGAAGAGAAGGATGAAGAGGTGGAGGGTGAGGAAGACGAGGAGGGTGAGGAGGAAAATGAGGAAGACGAAGACGAAGAGGAGGAAAGTGGGCAGGCAGAGGCCAAGGAGGGGGAGGAAAGGGAGCAGGAGGGGGCCGCGGCGATGGAGGCAAATCGGTACACAGCGCTGATGGAGACAAGTTGGTATGCCTCAGAGATCGAGGAGGAGGAGGAGGAGGAGGAGGGGAAGGGGGAGGGGGAGGGGGAGGACGAGGAGTACTGAGAAGAGGAGGGGGAGGAGGGAGAGGAGGAGGAAGAAGAACGAAGATGACGAAGAAGAAGACGACAAAGAAGAAGACGACGACGAGGAGAATGAGGAAGACGAAGACGGAGACAAGCAGTAGGAGGAGAAAAGGAGCAGGAAGGGGCAACAGTGTGGAGGCGAATCGGGAAGAAAGGGAGCAGGAGGGGGCCGCGGCGATGGAGGCAAATCGGTACACAGCGCTGATGGAGACAAGTTGGTACGCCTCAGAGATGGAGGAGGAGGAGGAGGAGGAGGAGGGGAAGGGGGAGGGGGAGGGGGAGGACGAGTACTGACAAGAGGAGGGGGAGGAGGGAGAGGAGGAGGAAGAAGGACGAAGATGACGAAGAAGAAGACGACAAAGAAGAAGAGGAGGACGACGAGGAGAATGAGGAAGAAGAAGACAGAGACAAGCAGTAGGAGGAGAAAAGGGAGCAGGAGGGGGCCACAGTGATGGAGGCGAATCGGTACACACCAAAGATGGAGGAGGAGGAGGAAGAAGAGGAGGACAAGCAGTACTGAGAAGAGGAGGTGGAGGAGGAGGCCGACGACGAGGAAGAAGAAGAGGACGAGGACGAGGAGGAGAAAGAGGAGGAAGAGGAGGACGACGATGGCAGCGATGGACGACAGGACAAGGAGGGGGAAGAAGAGGAGGAGGAGGAGGGGGAGGAGGAGGAAGTGGACGGAAAGGAGGAGGATGAAGATGGAGGGAAAGGAGGAAGAGGAGGAGGAGGAGGAAGAGGGGGAAAAGGAGGAGGACGAGAGAGATGAGAGAGCCAACGAGGAGTTAAGGGGCGGAGGGGAAGGGAGGAGTGCTGTCAGAGGGTGCACACCTGCACGGGAGTTCAAACACACATCGTGTTGTGGCTGTTGATGCACGATTTCGGCAAAACATCCAGCTCCACGACGTGCCCAAGTCAAACGGGCGGCAGCCATCGGGCGTGCAATTCGAATTCAAATTTGGCCCGATCTGGGCTGGCCCAGACCAGGGCATTTTCGTTTCCATTTTCGGAGGCCATACCGGCCTCACAAAAAATGCACGTCCCTCCCAGGGGTACAAGTACCCCAGACCCCACCCCCCGCACTCCCAAAAACCATCAACACCCCAACCCTGATTTTTTAACCAGCCCGGACACCGGGCCCCACTCGGACTACCAGGCGAGTTGTCCGATCGGACAGCCCTGAACTAAAAAGGGTCCCAGACATCCGGGCTGGTAACCAAGATGAATAGTCAAGAAACAGATGATTGTAATAATCCACTTCCCAACGCGCAGAATCAATGGAGTTATGACCATGCATTTGTAACGGAGCAACGCCTGAAGCAAACATCACTTCAGTATATATTGCCATGATCAATCCGCACCGCACGGAATTGATCCAGTGATCTCCAAGCTGGATGCCCTCACCACTGCAACAGTGACACGGTGTTCAAAACTGAAGCCATACCGGTCGTGACATTCCACCCATCCCAGCACAGTTGCAGCAACACACTCAGCACCCATCGAGACCTTATAAAGCCGCACTTACCGCGTGACCTATTCTACACATTTCACCAACATCCAGGTGAGCCTGTCCTAAGAAGCCTATGATGGGATGTAGTTTAGATGACAAAACAGCACATGAAAAAAACAGGAGATGTGACAAACCTTGGACTCAGATTCCCTCCTCCTTTTTGCTTCTTGCTTCTCATTCCATATTTCCTTCCACCGTTCCGTGCTTGGTATGCATCTGTGTACGTCGGGAATGTAGACAACAGTGATCTCCTTGTGGCTAGGGCCACCGTCCTCGGCAGCCCTCTCGTAATGGACCTGCAGCACATGAACCAGGACCAAACCCGTCTCTTATTAGATTATATGGCAATAGCAGACTGTGTGTGCACCTGGTATTGCTATATCATCAGGTATGCGCATAAGCCATGCACCCTATCGGAATGTCAAAGGAGGCCGTTCTTTTGCACAGGTACATTGATGCACTGGACATGGGGGGGAATAGGCTAAGAATAGCTGGTTAAATTTCCTTGCCCCTCGGCACGCCCGGCTGGGCAGGACCGCTGGGGAGAGTCCTGAGAAGCCCCTGCACAAAATAAAGAACATTAGAAAAAAATTAAAATTTCTAGAAAAAGAAGAGTGGGTAAATAGCAAGGCAAACGACTTCTAGCTCAGTGTCAGCGTCACCTCAAACTACCTTATTGAATTGATGATAATACAGAAAATTAACAAATCAAACTAAGGTAGCCCCCCCCCTAAAAACCCCAACTATATCCCACTTCCTCCCCCCCACCCAACTGACAACACTGCAAAACAAAAGAACAGCCTGGATTCGTGGTAGGTGCAGGAAAGCCCCACCGGCACAGGGGAAAAAATAATTTATGCAGTTCTTGCATGCCTGCGGCACACCGCCCAGCCATGCACCCCTGGTAATCTGGCAAGAATATCAGAATATGAATGAAAACCACCTGGAACCTCTCATTCCCAAACCCCACATGCTAAGGAAACACAGGCTGCCACTTTCTGCACTCTTTCTGCCGGTGACACACAAACATATGTACTGCTGCTCAAACAAAGTCAAATCCCACTCCTGCAATTAGCGGAGAAGTAATTAGCTGTCTCCCATTGCCTGCACGACACGATGTCATAATCGGAACGATTATGCTATCGAATCCATTACGTAATCGATTAGATTAGAGCACCAATAGTGGTTGACAGCGACCCGAGTACACTCATATGAAGACTGCATAAATCACTGGTTACCTCCATGAACCTCATCCAGCTTGTGCATTCACTGAGATCCACCTGAATCGTCTCCTTTGTGCACCTGTGGGAAGACACGACAAAAGGAAGAGAAACCACCATGTCAAGTCCATGTGAAGTTGTGAACAAAAAACTTGTCCACTACAGCAGGTCCAGCGCCCGTTTTTCATTCTTTTTCGAAGTATACCCCATGTCAGGCACACGAGCTGCTTGTCGGACTGCAAACTTGCAACCGTATTGCATACCCCATGTCAGGCACACAGCACATACAGGAAGAGCAGCCACGATGCACGCCAGAACTTCCCAAGAATCCCAAATGTCAACAGGAGCGCTAGGAACTCGCCGCACCTGATCGCAGTTCTGATGAGCACACTATCATCCACCTCAGGGTCTCCACCATCTAGCTCCTTGTCCCACGTGCCACCAACACTCATGATTGCACTGCGCTCTCTCTCCTTGCGTAGAGTAACAAATCCAATCAATTTGTGAAGGTGCAGTATCTTCTCATCCGCAGCCTTTTCAGTCGCCAAATCTTTCTGTGCATTCTCATCCAGTCCACTCATCAACATGACCTGAAAACATGTCAAACCATGAGCAAGTCGCACAGTCAATGAGCCTGACATAACCACAGGAAATGATGGCAAGCTGTCAAAGTACACTGAGAATGCCCGCACATTCATAATTCCAAGTACCACTTGCCCTGTGGCACACAAGGACCCCTCCACCATTGAAACACTTCAGTTCAAAGTTCAAAACGATTATGATTTCCAAAACATTGCAGTTAGAATGCTCCATGTCACAAAGGGCAGCATTATAGAGATAGACAGAAAAAGGCAAAGCATTCCAAAACATGTGCAAGTGGAATGCTCCATGTCAGAAAGGATAGCACTACAGAGATTCACAGAAAGCCAAAGTTATAGGACTATGTTGCTCTAGAAAAACAAAACAAAACAAAAAATTTGCGGACCCTGAGCAGTAGCAGGGCAAAGAAATCAACTTAACTCGCCCCGATCCACACAACCTGAAAGCAGGCACGAGGAAAGGTCCAGCAAAAAGAGGAACAGCAGCAGGAGCAAGTGGAGGAGGAGGAGGCAGAGGTATTTATTGAATAACAACGCCGGTGATGGTATGCTTCCCACACCCATTCAAGCAAATTTCCAAGGAAAGGGCATAATAAGTGAATGCATGACAACTAACACCCACAGCGAGATGCCATGATGGTTATCACTGGATTGGAGAGAGAGAGAGAGTGTGATAGCAATATCCATAGAGAGGAAAACACTCCCACAGACTCGGATTCCTCGTATGCATGCTAGCTGCATGCAATTGAACTCGTCACCAGATAACCAAGCCAAGCCAAGTTCCCTTACTGCTACCCATTTTTGTCCCTTGCTTTATTTGAATGTAACTTGCACAAAGATTCAATGTTTCAGTCATTAAATGATAGAGTTACACAGACACCAAAGACTTGAGTTGCTTCCCTAAGGACAAGGACAATACAGAAATTATTGCAAAGAGCCCAGAAGCAAAACGTTCGACGGAAGCAGACAAGACAACGAAAAAAAGGGACTACCCCGTTCAATTTACAAGATCTTTTTTGCATGATGAATTTCCCATTAGGCCGTCACATTTAGCAGGCACTTATGCGCACTACAGAATGCATTCACCGGCCAACAATAAAAAAAATGTTTCTCATGTTCAACGGTTTTCCACCCCGTCAATGAAAACCATCCATGAGTACGAGTGCTTCGAATGCATAATGTAAGAGGTGCCAAGAAAGATAGGCATAGTAGGTTTACCAAGTGATACCAACTGATAGGTGTGGCAAGGGGCACAGAGAAGCCCAGATGACGAACGGGGAGGCAAAGGGGACCAGAAAAGTAGGGAAACCACATAACCAGGATATAGAGCAACAAAGTAAACCTGGTATACTGATCTGTTTAATATCTGAGTGGTCCATCGGCCTGTTTTGTTTTTCTTTTCCAAAGGGCAACAAATCAGACCTCTCGCCAAGACTCCTTGGGGACATGAAGTGGCAGGAGAGCCCGCAGTTGCTATAAAAAAGGTGAGAACAAATCACAACAGTGCAGGAGTTGAGAGATGATACTCGACATCGCAATCTGGGCACAAGAATATCGTCATCACAAATCAGATAATTGAGTGTCCTCTGGACCAGAGGCCATGTACAAAAGTGGAACCTGAGCACTCTTGCACCATTAAGGCGTTGTTACCCTTCAGGGGATAACAATAACTTAGACATGCAGCAAAGGCAAAGCAAGAACTTCAGCATGCAGGTTGCAAGTCATAGACATGAGGGTAAGAGAGTGCAAACATTTAGCTTGAACTCTACAATGATGGGTTGTCAAGCCACCGACAGCTGATGCCAATGGCCACCGGTTTCGCAGCTCACCGGTCGGCAGAGGGTTGTCACTGGTTTTTTTTTTCTTTTCTTTCTCGGCAGCAGGGCATTCTGCGCTTGCAGATAAAAGCCTGAATCCACTATAAAACTTGCTTTTGGGTGTTGTGGTTTTAGGGGAGGGGCTGGAGGGTGGTTGGGGGGGCCAGGTCATAGAGGGTGATTGTGAAGGGTGGTCGGGGTTGTTTCAGATGGTGTTTGGCAGGAAGTTGGGGGTTGTTTGGGGTAAAGAAGAAGGGTAAAGAGGAGGGGCAAAGAAGGAGGGTGACAACAAAAACCACCTGTCCCGGACGCCGCATTTCTTTTTCACGGGCGGGGCAGAGGGGAGGGAACGGGCTGCCTACCGGTCGGGTCCTGATCGGTAGGACGGTTGGCAGGTTGGCAGCCAACCAATAGAGGCCTGCGGACAGTCGGCAAAACTACCCCGTATTAAGAAATCTCAAAATGGACCTACCACAGGCAGCAGGAAACGTATGCAAGAGGAAGAAGGCGCAACGAACATCGGACAAGCGATGCTAAGAACTACTAAGAAGATAGTCATGGCTGTTTGTGCCAGTAACCCAACAATGCTGCTATAGCCTCGTGTCCTCTATAGTCACAGTCAGAAAGATACGCTTTGCAGACGACAAGGGCCAATTGACACATGACAGACATAAAGGTAACAGCAGACGGAGGAAACGTGCACCGACAACAGAATAGACCACGCACATGTGCAAAGTAGGCAGCATATATCTGTAAAACCTGCAGTTATGGAAACAGCAGCAGAGCAAGGGTAATCTCTAGCTGGAGGTAATCAATGTTGTTAGCTTGGGTCTCTCTGCCATGACTGACAGAAGAGCGTCAGAGTGAGAACAAATGACAACAATGAATAAAACTTCTTTCGGGGGGGAGGGAGGGAATCCCACACAGTCAATGCACATATGACAGAATGCTTTAAGCGCAAGTGAGGAGTCAACACACATATGACAGAGTCACAAACTCCTTTATAAAACAAAGGGAAAAAAAAAGGGGGACGAACTCCTACTTGGCAGATGGGAATATACTGTGCAAGTACCAGATCATGGTAAGTACTACAAGGCAAGCTGTATGCCTGTTGCAGGAGACATTGGCGTATTGAGACCCATCTAGCAAATAGATGAGAAAGAGTGCCTGCAAACGCCGATATAGATGAGCACCAAAATGGCAGCAGCTCAAAGCCACGAGAGTAAAGGGATGATTGCGTGTCAACACATGTTAACCAGGAGTAAGCTAAGTGTTATTGAAGGCACTGAAACGGGCTCCCTGGTGTTGAGTGACGGAATGTGGCGAAGATGCAGCTTAACTCCCAAGAGCGCATCAGTTTCACTGATAATGAACTGAGAGCTAAACATTAGTGGAAAACGAGGGGGGCTTGATAGCCGCGTAAGGAACACCACATGGACGTCTTGCTCAGCACAAAGATATGGTCAAAATCATTATCTCTGAAATACATCTCTGATGAGTCTGATCCAATATAAAGGAATACGCTGGTGATTGAATACGTGGAACTGAGGGTCATTTATTATGAACGGAGTCTCATGATAAAGGACAGTGTCCTTTGGGACATCCGTTAAAATTGGAATGATACAGAGAAGATTAGCATGGCCCCTGCCCAAGGATGACATGCATAAATCGAGAAATGGTCCAAATTTAAAAAAAATAAAAAATAAAAAAAATGATAAAGGACAGAGAGTCAGCTTGGAGATTTCGATTAGTTGGCCCCTCCTTCCCATTCATTTTCCTGATTTTCTGGAGATTGACAATTATACACCAGTGCATTTGCTTTACAATTTTTTTTCATGAACGATTGTGTTTGCACGAGAGCCAGCGGATGGAATAAAGCATACAATCGAAATGCTGAACGAGGCCACCGATGAGCCCGAAGAAATCCCCAGAAAAGGGCACATCGCTTAACATTCGCAGATCAGTCGCAGGCGTCCAATTTAACTTCGGCAGATGAGTCGTCTTTCAAGTCGGATGCGCTACCTTAGCATTCCACACAGTAGGTCCCATCTTCGGCGGCTTATTTGCTGAGGATGAAGCGGACCACAAAGAAGACGGTGCAGCCACTTTTTCGGAGAGTTTTGACGCAGCATCCTTGGTCTCTCCCTCGTCTTCTACGTCTATAGCTTCATGCTCAAAGCTGTTGCATGTCGGGTAGAAAGTGATAGTGAGAGAGGGCGAGAAATCGAGGTATAAAAAGAAGAGAATCACTCTTGACTTCAACACAACACCCAGAACATTCCCGTGTGTCATTCCCCCCCACACAACACCACTCCTTCAGCAGTCACCACTTGGATACTCCCTCGACTCGTCATTAACATCCAAAATATTGTTCCGCTCAGCATATTCCCCGTACTCCCCCCCAATAAACAGCTCCCAGCCAACCAACCGGCACAGTTTATTAGTCCATTGACAATCCTTGCCGACACACCACGAAACAGAAACATGACAAGATTGAGCGTTGCCAAGTTACCGAGGGTGAAATAGATTGGCCCCGAAATTACGGTGTCGTTAAAATGCAAGTGACTATTGTTTAGAGAATGTAACAGCCACAGAGTAAGTGAAGAGCTTTGGGATGTTGTAGTGCTCACTAACTAGCACTTCTTTTAACCAAAGGTTGTTCATCCTAGTGGACATGAGCTTGTGCAGCTGGCCAATTGCAGCCTGCTTATAATGCAATGCCATGCACGAGGTTACCCCAGAAGCACCGGGCCAAGCCCACAAACCACCACACGTTAGCGATCTTCTCTACACGAGAAAGCAACCCATCATTCGTGCAATCCAAACACTGAATAGGCAAGAAACATAAGGCAAAAGAGATGCACCAAAAAACAAACAGGAGTTTAAACTCACAGGGCTGGAAGCCAACACGACAAAAGACAAAATACATTGCACGCACCTTCACAGGCTTTCCCTTTCTATAAATAGGAGTTCGCTTCTCTTTTCCAGACACCGCAGTGTGGACACATGACAAGTGGAGCACGCATCAATACCAGTGCTGATATGGAAAATCATAGTTGCATGGCATTGAAAATGCCCGAAATAATAGATGACAGACAGAATCAATTGGTGGTGGTAGTAGGTACCATTATGCCAGTGATCAACAAAGTGACAATTGCCAGAAACAAAACAGTGAGACTTGGTGCTACCTAAGGACACTCGCAAAGTGTCGATTGCCAGAAAGAAAACAGTGTGACTTGGTGCTATGTAATGACACTCACAAAAAGGAAGACTTGTGAAAATGAGATTCAAGAGCAGGGAAAAGAATACAGAACAGACCTGACTGGTTTATCGAGAGGAACTTCCACTTCGTTGCCCACCCAGCACGCAACCACCTGAGCACAGAGGCAGAAATCTTGCTCGTCAGTCTTCACCACATAATAGAATGCCTCGCCATAGTCCTTCCAGGGATTCTGATCCTTCAAAATTCATGTACAGACTATCATACAACGTTTTTCTAAACCGGAATACATATCAGCTCTCTTGAACATTTGAGTGGCACAACGTGCATTGACCGCCAACTCACCAGGTCGACGATGAAATCACCAAGCACAACACTCAAACTTCATGACATATATCAAGGAGCTTCGGTGTCAAAAGTGACCCAGCAGGGCACTTAGTCGGAACCAAGTGAAAGATACCGCTACCTTCACGTTAACTTCCTGCAGAGTGCAGAGGTAGGGCAACAGGGTGTATGGAGTATGAGACAGAACGCATCAGCAGGGGAAGTCCCTTTGAACAAGACAGCTGCAAAGTCAGAAAAAACATTAGTCGCTTCCGAAGAGGATATCTCACTTAGCATGGCTGAGTAACGACAGTTAAACATATGGCAAAGCTTCAATTGCTGAATCATTGGCAGCAAGCACCACTGTATGTCAGTGGTCAAAATGCAGCTGCAGAAAGCAACTACCGTCTTCACCCGAATAGAACGCCCAGTCATTATAGCTGTATTTTGGGCAACTTTCAGACCAGATGCAGCGATAATGACCGGGCATTTTATTCGGGTGAAGATGGTACTTGCATGCACACATTCACCGAATGTCATCTGCCACAAGTAACAGCAAAACACTCAACTCCTGGAAGGCAAAAACCCAACAGGAACGCACAGTGATAAAACAATCCGAATGACAAATGCATGTTCAATGAGGGCATAACCACCACATGCCACTGAGCAGCTACTCAGCCATCCAAGAAACCTAGCCTCATGACTATGCTCAAGAAACCTCCCTTGTAATGGGATCACAGCAAGGGTAAAAAGATTCTCCTGAGCCCTGCATCCCACACACATCAACACACGAGCCAGCTGAACGTGAGGGCCGAAGGCAGTTCTTGAGGCCAGTCGCCGATTGCTACCAGATCTTCCCAGTGGACCTTCTTCTCCACAACCTGCAGTGGTTGCTCTCCCTATGTACTATCCTCTATTAGCAATGCTCTTCAGTCGTGCGATAATGTCTCAAGCTCATGAAATACCACATCATATAGAAGAGGGCAGAACGAACGACCAATGTGGTCATCTTCTAATAAAGCGACCGACTATATAAGAGGCCGCTTTATATTACACAGGTGCCTTCGCACTAGGCTATCATCTTGAATCTTCTTATGCAGAAGACTCATCAGTATTTGGTGGTCAATTGCATTGAAGCATTTGGTGGCGTACCTCCCTCTGCCACAACCATATTCCTGTCTTTCCCTCTTCAAAAATAGATTTTGAACATGCAGCTCCCGCAATGCAGCAAAACCACCTTCGCACAACGTAAGGATGAAACAGAAACATCCAAAAGAGAGCAAAAGATGGCTACAAACAGAGATTTACTTGTATCAAACCCAGACAGCGGATTTTCATCAAATACAGGAGAAAGTCCAGCAACAGAACTCCCCACCTAGAGGATTGTTCTGAGGCCGCACCATGGGGTGAGAACTTGCCTTTGAAAACTCTGGCGAAATGTACATCCGCGCATATCTCCGGCAAACAGACTGGTAGTCCCTCTCCACCTCCACTAAATTGTATGTTTCAATCTGTTCATGGACAAATCAGAGTAGTGTTATCTCACTCTCTCTCTCTCTCTCTCTCTCTCTCTCTCTCTCTCTCTCTCTCTCTCTCTCACACACACACACACACACCTATCCACTAAAAGAGCACACTTTGCATAACGAACAAGCAAAATATCAGACAGCAGCAGGCACACCCAAAACTGTTCGTTTGCCTTTTCCTGTGCAGTTCTTTCTTTTTGCTTTTTCACGCTTTCTCTTCGACTTCTAACCTCTCATGTACAAGACTCACTGCTGCGATGCAGTTACGTTAATGTACATCAATGACAACAGTCACTGCATATCATATTATATTACACTATTTAATATGTAAGAATATATACCATCATAGGCAACTGCCCGGTGAGCCGTTCTCCCTTTTTGCTTTTTCAAAATTTCTCTTCGACTTCTAGCCGCTCATGCCCAAGACTCACTACTGCATGCAGTTATGTTATGTGCATCAATGACAAAAGTCACTACATGTCACATTATATTACGTTATTTAATCATATATACCATCATAGGCAACTGCGGGGTGAACCACGGACCGAAACGGTCAAAACAACAAGAAACAGGGGACTGGGACCAACTGTTTTGTTGGAGTTTCCCCTAACCGACGATACTGCAAGTGACAATCCACCTTAGCCCCGGCTGCTGTTAAGCATCACCAACTGCCCAACAACTTGTACCCTGAGGGAGGCATCAACTAAAAAGCACATTTTGCAAAACAAACGATAAACTACACAAGACAAACATCAAGTGCACACTGAATTTGTTATTTTGCCGCTTCGTACGTAGTTCTTTCCTTACTCTGGCCGCTTTCGTTATTGCCAGGTCGATGAAGTTCAGTGCAAGGTGCCCGTGTCCCTGTGTGCCATGACGGCCCGCCTGGGCTGCCTTGGTAAAAACCACTTGTATCCCCATGCGCCATAACGCCCCACTTGTACGCTGTGAGGCAGAGTGAAGGGAGAGGACTAAACAGAGAGAAAAGATGGAAAGAAGACAAAGTCGAAGGGAAAGTAATGAGCGTGGAATGAAAATGAAAACATAGGAAAGGATGTGTTACGTGAGGCACCTGAAAAGTGCATCTTTACATTACAGCCATAGTAATAGGGCAAAGAATGGCAGGTGGGTTCCGTGATGCAGCTTGGAAGTTTCTTTACCTTGCAGACATACTCCCTTCGCTTTTCCTTGATAGATGGTGATGAATGCCTGCATCAGGACACATCTGGATTAGCAGTCACGAAAGCTAATAATGCCCTAAAACTCGCAAGGTCCACAGTTCACACACCAGACCAATCAACCCAGATGGTCTGCTGCGAGTTCATTCAAGAGAAGATGTAGGACTTGGATGGACAAATTCGCAATGCGCCTGGTATTTGGTTCAACTGGTGCAGGCATGACATCGCTGTACTGGACAACTCTCTCTCTCTCTCTCTACCTCTACCCTGATATCCATAAAACATATTACGACACTCTCCTGCACCTCCCCCTAAATTGGTTGGGCATCCCATGAATCCCCTTCCCAATCTCCTTCTGTCCACATGCTAAGCATATGAGCCTCTCCTTCAACAGGCCCCATCCTCCCCAGTGTGTGCAAAGCATCATGCAATCCTGAAGCCATCCTCCCGCCCCCCACCACCCTGCCTCTCTTCCCTACAATGCTCCGCGTGACACCTCACAATGCATTGTATGTTACCCTCTTCCTTACTCATTTCCACTGCCTAACACATGCAAAGCAGCATGCAACCTCCCTTGATCTCAACCCTCATCTCTGTGATGAACAGAGGTGAGACTCTGTGCAGGAATGAGCTTCAAGTCGATCACCCAAAGACAGCCTCCTGACGCGAGAGATCATGCATTCATGGATCTGGGAAATGATCAAGATGTGCTCCCATCCAGTAGCAGAGTAGTAAGCAGCACATCGCACCCATCACAATCCACAAGTACATCCAGAACAGCTCCCCATTTGATTGAAGACCCTTAGGGTCTAAGACAACACATACAAGTACATGAATTGACCAAGAATCTTCAGACCACCTACACACATTATTGTTCTTTCTTCATTTCGAAACCTCTGGCTTACATCGTAATTCACACATGCTGAAATTGTATTTTGATTATCCTTTCTTCACTTCGGAACCTCTGGCTTACATCGTAATTCACACATGCTCAAATTGTATTTTCTTTGCAAATGAACGAGTCCAAGAAGCATGGGCAGATGTTCATTGGAAATCAACAAGATGCATCGCATCTGGACCGCATGCTGCAGCTTCTCAAGGAGTTCGCACAGATCTCAAACTACTCTTCGCAGTATTTTTCCCGTTTGAATGACCGTCTGGAGGACAAATCAGCGTTATGAATGTTGAGGAACCCAATAAGCAAAACGAACCTATATGATACATCACGGCGTGGGGACTCCTTCCTAGCACTCCTGTCATCCCGTTTTGGTGGCGATGACTCCTTCCGATCTCGTGATGCCCTTGGAGGGCTCTCCCTCTTCCGACGATCATCGTCTCTCCTATCCCTTGCATCACGGTGATCTCTATGTGTGTCCCGACGCTTCTCATCATCTCTTCTTCGCTCATCACCATCTCTCTCTCTGCCTGCATCCCTCTTCGTGCTTCGATCATCCCTACGGTCATCATGACGTGAGGTCATGTTCGACTTGCTTGTACTGTCCTGCGCCCTGCCGCTTCCATGGGATTGCTCTCTGCTTCCTGCACTCCGACTAGCTGAGTAGTCCCGACCAGGAGGCAATGCAACACCACCATATCCACTCTGCTGCTGCTGAGCACTAGATCCATGTTGCTGGCCTTGTGAGACACTGCCATATGCGGCACCTCCATAGGCACGCCCTCCTGCTGGGCTGCTATAAGCACTTCCCCCTTGTGCTTGTTGTTGGCTGCCATACGCCCCTCCACTTATGGTAGGGACAGAACGCCCTGCTGCTGAAGCTCCATACGCTGTCTGTGCAGTATATGTTTGACCACCTCCCCGACCACCGTCTGACTGCCCACGCACACTGGTAGCATATGCACCACTTGCAAACTGCCCTGCAGATGCCTGACCACCTCGGCTTGTGGTGTATTCTGATGATCCTGGACTGCTCGCTCCCACAGCCATGCCAGCACTGCCACGGCCAGAGTAATCGCTTTGTGACCTACAAGGGTTCCCACAGTGACAACACAAAAGTTGAACCGTTCAGTTTCTAGACATAATAGGCACGGGCACATCAGCTGTGGAATTTGCAATTTCGTGAATCGAAATCATGCATCGAGGTCGTATTTCGGCAGGCATGCCAACCAAAAAAATGCACAAGCGTCCTTCAGGACATCGGTTAAAATAGGAGTAATACAGAGAAGATTAGCATGGCCCCTGCGCAAGGATGACACGCATAAAAAAAGAAATGGTCCAAAAAAAAAAAAAAAAAAAAAAAAAAAAAAAAAAAAAAAAAAAAAAAAAAAAAAGCACAAGCATACAGAACCGAGGTCACTTGGTTCAACAAACATCCCAGAAGTTAACATATATAAGTTCACCAACTGTCAATAGCATTTGACAATCATTAAGGCTCGCATAAATTCACTTGCACAATTGACATGTACTCGGAGATACGAGGGAGGACAAAGTTCATTTCCCATATATTGACTCATTACCTCCCAGTAACATCAGCACCCGTCTGTCGCTGCTGCTGCATGGCAGCCGCTAAGGCCTGTGCACGTTGTAATGCCTGTTGCTGCCTGATGAGGTGCGCCTGTTGTGTGCCGGTCTGCATGAGGACAAAATAGGGTACAAATGCATTAGTCTATAGTAGATAATGCCACTAGCTACGTAGACAACCAGCCTCGATTCATTTCCATTGCCATTTTCCACAATCATTCCCCCCGGTGGTTAGCAACACAAGCCCGTTTCCACAATCATCCCCCCCGGTGGTTAGCAACACAAGCCCGAAACCACCAAGGGAAGACACCAAAAGCAAAATAAATGCAAGCGTAGACAGACGGGAAGCAGGAGAACATAGAAAGCGAGAGACCAAAAATAAAATGGAAGGTTGACGGTTCATGCAAACACAGGGCTTAAAACATCTGCACAGTCGGACAGTGAATCAGCATCTCAACTGAAACAAAGAAGAAAAATTGCGCATTCACTGTGCATGACAGGGCAAATCCAAAAAGTATGCACAAATGTCACCACCACTAAGCAAGACGGCCAATCGCGTTGTCTACGAACAGCCAATCACAACCCACTCTTGTTTTCTCCTTTTCTATGTGTAATCCCAAGCTCCGCGCTGTTTTGCAGGCCAATTCGTTCAGCCTATCGGCCCACCTAAACCCAATAGCCGCTGAGAGGCTGACCACGTGCCCGTTAGGAAAGGCAGGGTCAGGTGCACAACAGGTTGGGCAAAACAGTTGGGAAAGAGAGGTGTTTTTATAACAAACAGGCACTCTGTTCTCCTCTTTCACATCCTCTGCTGCAAGCACTTCGGATTTGAGACCAAAATTTCATAACGAGCTCCTCTGCTGCAAGCGCTTCTGACTGGGCTTGGGAGCCTTGTGAGAGGTTCAAGTCAAGACTGAGCGCCCAGCACACCCAGTCAGCAAACTCCATGTCAGCAGGGTAGTACAGATGGAGCCCTCCTCGAGGAGCAGGCTTCCAACTCTCAAGCTTCAGTCAACAGTGAATTGCCAACTATTACAGCAAGAAATAAAAGAAGATGGAATTAGTAGACGTGTATCGATAAAGACAGTATTATTGATCGATTTGGATATCTATGAATCATGCACAACAAGATTTCCACTTGTGTTGAATCAGGAATATCAACACCGAACATCCTTCTCAAACGATCACATCGTCACTTTAGATTCCGAGAAAAAAGCCGGTATGCTCCTTTCCCCTTCCACACCCCCTGCGCCCTTCATTCACATCTCCTTCTGCCTGAAAAGCATCCATTTTGCTTATCTTTCAAGGAACACGGTTTGTGTTATTCAGGGAAAATGTCGACTCAAGCAATCAATACAGACCACAATGAACAGAACATACCTGCTGGGAGTCCTGCTCTTGCAGGAGTTCGGAGAACGTGGATGAGTGTCCGGTCAAAACCAAGGGAAAGGATGCCACAAAAGCCAAAATGTGTAAATCATCTCCATACAACAAATAGCTCCCAACTTGTTAATCACCTCCATACAACAAATAACTCCCATCGGTACAAAAAAAAAAAAAAAAACGACAAACTCCAGCTGCAACGTTGCCAGAGCACATCAACACATCACGGAGCATCCACACAAACAAAGCACTTCTGCTACTGGAGTTGCACTGGCATTCATCAGAGGGGACTGTTGGCACCCATAAACAAAACACATTTTTCTACAATCACCACCAGCACCATCAGTGTCAGCACCATCATCATCATCAGGAACAAAAGGCCCGATCACCAACTTCATCAATCATCATTAACTAGCTTCCAACAATCATAATCATCATCATCAGCAGCAGCATCAAGACAATTGCCATTCATCTTCCTTCTTTACTTTCTCACTTTTGCTTTGGAGCTTCAAACTTCGACACCATGATTGCATCCTGTAAATCCGACGTACACATCCTTCTCCCCCCCTACAAGGCATTCAACCAATGCCGCATTCTATTGTGGGCAATCAGGTTATATGGTATTCACTTGTGGTAGGCCAGTCAGGTTATATGGTAATCACTTGTGGTATCTCCAATTATTCACTTCGCCATAGGTGTACATAGATAAAGGTACACATCATGCCATGATTGCAATCAATACGATGGCGGAACAAGCCAGAGCGGTCATCATCCCAGTAAGAACAGCAAGCAATGAAATATCAGAAGTGCAATAGGCTTGATTAGAACTCTGCCCATGCATCGATTAATCACCTCCCATGGCCTTATGAGTTCGCCCCTCAAAAAGCACACCAAAGGTGAGCAAACATCAGCAGCAATTCATCCCCGCATGATGGCCACGAGTTATAAAGATCTCGCATATGATCACTTTGCATCACATCAGAAAAAGAGCAATCAACTGCCAAGTGTTGCTTTGAAACAAGCGATGCCCTCCATTGCTGCAACGTTCCAGCACCTTTCCCTTGTCTACCCAATTATAACGGAACAGACGCAGACTGCGGAACCTCCAATGTGACACACAAATGATGAATATTTAAACATACTACTCTTTCTTGAAGGTCTAACCTCTTTTCCGATAGATAACTAGGTCTGCCGGGAGAAGGCGAACGGGGGGAGGGGGGCACGGTCAATTAGTGTGGTTCTGAATTTGGCTTTTTTTCTTGGACTCTTATCACAGTATGTGAATGCACTTGTCAACAGAATCTTCCTTCTCCAGAAACGGTGGAAGTAGAGTCCGGAACCGATGGGGGGGTGACGAAAGGATCCAAATGGGTTTAGAGTGGTTTTAAGGGGTGTATACTTGGGGCTTCGTTTCCCATTTTATTTTTCGACTTGTGAAAATAAAATGCATTTGGAGATGACCCTCAGCCAAAAGTTGTTTGTACTATCACTGTACGCAACATCTTGTTTTTCCTCGGATTTTTTTTGTCATTCAATTTTTCAAAAACTTTCGCGCTACGACTGTGCAACACCTGGCCTGGTTGGCCCCACCCGGGCTGGATCCGGACTGACCCCTGGGGTCCCAGTGTGCCGGATCGTAACATAGCTTTTTCATCATTTACAGGCACCAGAAGCAAGCAAGCGAAAAAGGATTAGGCAATGTTTGTGCTAAGTTAGATTGCATCTGAGGACCTTGTCAGCAGGTCTGTGATAACTTAACACGGACATCTAGCACCAGTGAGGCCCGCGAGGAAGAAATCTCCAAGTGCAGGACACACAAGAAGTTAAGGAAATCTTAGAGCTTAAGTGGGTACACAGTCAGGGAGGGAAGAAAGCATACTTGCCAGAGGCGGGACAGAACCAACACATCAGCACACTCAGAGAGCCAGCAGACGAGCATGACTCCTCCCGACAGAAAACATGTGGCGCAGGGGGGACAAACTGGAACAGTCACGATTCTCTACCAGACAAGCACAAACCCGAACCCCACATCTCTCTCAGAACGAAACCGACATTGCCTCCAGGAGATGAGGTGAATTCCTTAACCACTGTAACCAGTCCGACTCACCGAGAATAGCAGTCAATCTGTCAATCAGTCACCAACCCATCAATCAGCAACACTATTGGCTACAGCATGAACCGCACGGCTGCATGTTGCTCACACGCTCAATCAGCTGCTCGCACTCTCCTTCATGTTGCTCACACTCTAAATCAGTCTCTGTGCACCAGCCCATCAATCAGTGACATTATCAACTACAACCTAATTGGCCACATAACGCATCAGACTATCATTCGTATTGTTAGGACTCCAAATCACCCACAAAATCACTCCATGAACTTGAGCCATGCAGTGAGAGGAAGAAGAACTGCTACTAATACCCGATGTCAAAAAAAAGATGGCATTACACCCACCTCACGCAGTTTCTCCTTGTGAATTGAGTCTTGTGACACTGTGGCCTGCGCATCACCTCGACCATAACCAGCAGTTGCTTGTTGGCCGTATTGACCCCCATGCCCTCCTGATCGTTCCATTGAACCAGAAGAACCCAGATTGGAGCCATATCCAGCATGCAAGCCAGGACTTGTGGCACCCAGGCCTCCTGCAGAGTACCCACCAGTGTAATCGGAGCCCTTGCCACCATAGCCAACACTTCCACCAAGAGCTCCTGCAGCACCTGCAGAGCCCATATAATCCGTCTTGTATCCTCCAGCAGGTCCCACAGACCCACCTCCCATCCCATAGTCTACAGCCTTAGAGCCATATGTTCCACCCTGGCTCCCCCCGGAACCGTAATCACCAAGTTTTCCACCCATGCCACCAACGCCCTGACTCCCAGACATCTGTCCAGTGCTGACTCCACCTCCATAACCAGATGCTGATAACCCAGGTGGCGGCATACCCCCACCTCTAGTCATCCCCATACCATACTCCTGAACAGTACCAGACTGTCCGCTTCCCAGCTTTACCCTCTGCTGGTCATCCCCCATGCCGCCCTGGTTGGACCAACAGACACATCAACGAACACGCACATTAGGAGGCACCAAAAGAAAAGAGATTCAACCACCACCAGGAGTTCAGTAAAATTACTATCGCATTGACATTATTGTGTGCAGCAAGGATGACAGACATTAGCCTTCACGCTCTTCACAAATGTTGAAAAACAAAGGTCGCCCGTGCATTCGGGTTCAATTGTCAGCCAGCATTCAGGCGACTGCAAGGTCGAATGTCAAACTGCAATCGTGTCGCCCTGGTTTGGGGGGCATCAAGATGTGGAGATCGCATCTGCAAAGGTCATCCTTTACAGCCCCACCTTCCACAAATAGTGAACAAGAGGAAAGAAACAAATAATCACCTACTTTTTCCCCCATCTTCTCCTCAAGACGAAAACAGTTCAGGTGTGACAAACGAACAGAGATGACAACGTCTCTTTCACTTCAGAACATTGCCAGAAATTTGTGTTGACGCTTCACTCCAGTCTCCACATTACCCACACATGGGAAGGTCTTCCTCAATGGTCATCACTGCTGCTATGCAGCCCACAGCACACACATGGAATAATTAGATGCCTATGGAGACCAACCCTAAGAGAGCCAAGCCATAGGGGGCTATTCCAGTTCCTTCGTAGATAACATAACAGTAAAAGAGGGTGTATTGTCGCTGGCCGGCTTATCAGCCAGTCTTGTTTCCCTTACCTGCTGCTGCGCCCATGGCAACGACTGCGAAACTCCGCCCTGTTGTTGCTGGTGATGCTGAATCTGCTGAGCCTGTGAGGCCCCATACTGCCCAGCACTGCCCCCATACCCTTGTTGTTGTTCAGAACCCTGCAGACCGCAACATGAACAGGAGTTACATCACATGCAATTGCTCCATAAGCCTCAAGAAAGAGATATGACACAGGCATGGAAAGCCTTTACAAAGATGTCCATCCACGGCACCATCATCTACCTTCACACTCCACAGATTGCCACTCCATCACAACTGGTGCAGCTCCCAGTTCGAGATATCCCGTCTAGATTCTTCACCGCCATGGATACATAAATAGAAGATGAGCTCTTACATTTTCGCCCGCAAACACAAAGAGGTTTTCATATTTACCCAACTGTGTTGATTACGTAATGAGCTGATGTCAGTGACGGAGACCCACCTCTTCTTGCAAGTCTTCATCACCTATTCTTACCCCATGAGTAGCAGTTTATTTTTGTCCCGTAGAAGTACTGCAGAAGAAACCTTGCTCCAACAATGTTTTGAGCAGCATTCCCACCGTAACCTTGACAATATAGCTGTCACTTTCGACATCACGTTGCCATATTTACAGAGGTACCGCTTGAACCCTGTAGCTTCTTGAGATGGAGAGGTGACGATGGTCAGTTTGTCAACATTGCATTCAGACATTTACAGATGTTAAGGCTCTCTCTCTCTCTCTCTCTCTCTCTCTCTCTCACACACACACACACACACACACACACACACACACACACACACACACACACACAGAAAGACCGCAGAGAGCAAGGGACAAAGCTATTGATAGGAGGTACGAGAGGCTCAAGGAGGCAGAGGTAAGTGGTCCTTGAAGGAAGAGTTACAGACCTGTTGCCCATAGGACTGTTGTCCATATGCCTGCTGCTGATACCCTCCACTTCCAGCTACCTGCTGGCCATACCCAGTATTAGACGTCGGAACCTGCCCTTGTTGCTGTCCATAACCACCCCCAGAGTAGTTATAATGAGCTTGCTGTTGCTGCTGGTTCTGCTGTTGCTGCGACTGCGACATTGCCTGAGGTTGCCCCTGTTCCACATACAACATAGTTTCAGGAAGGGTGATCACACCTGGGCAAGGTTTCCATCAGGACATGGTTCCACCATGACAAGACGGCCTTAGATTGCCCCTGTGCCGACCAGAATGTTGAACATGTGATTGCATTCGTTCAACATATGTGGGTTTGTCGTAATCCTCTTGAGCACTGGTTATTGTTTCCAACGATGTTCCTTTTCACTCAACTGCTGCTAATTTGGCTTGATAAGTACGCAGGAAGCAAAAAGGACGCGTGTTAATAGCACAAATAGGAAACTACCACCATCACTTGTACTACAATACTATAGAACGAATCTATTATTACATTTAATAGTGTGACAATTGTAGTCACAGTGGTAATAGTAGACTCCTACCAATAGTACTGCCCAAACTACTATAACACAAAGGGCGTAATGTTCAAGTCTGTCAGGCCTTCTTGACAGTCTGTCAGGGTGTATCTCTGTGCCAGACTTGAACATTACGCCGGAGAGAAACGAATCACAGTACAGAGAGAGAGAGAAGGGGGGAGAGAGAAAGAGACAAGAAGGCCCACCCACCGCCCTCTGTGCCAGAGGATACACCCTGACAGGCCATGCACCATCCAGGCAAAAGACTTGCCGAACATCAATTCAAGTCGATACACAGCAGAATTTGCCCCCCCAAAAAAAAAAAAAAAAAAAAAAAAAAAAAAATGGGATAGGATCATATAGAAGAGATGAGGTGGAGAGAGGAAGAGGGGGACTATGTTGCCAAATACAAAAAATTGTGAAGCAAGAATTGAAATGGTGAACTACAGAGATCTGAACTACACTGGAGAAGAACCGTAGCATTTCAGTTCTTCTCAAATATACTTCATTTCAGAACTCTGTAGCATCACATTATCATTAAAGTAATTTAATACCAAAAAAAAAATGCGAAGCAAGATTTGAAATGGTGAACTTCACAGTCAAACTTCTTCAATCCTTCCCATCGCCTCAAAATCCCACAGACGATAAACAGCTCTTGAAGGCTGAGAGAACTGGAAAAGCGTTTGCAGTCCAGCTTCCAGATAGGTTGCACATCAGAACCAAAAGCACTTACGTAAAGTCCATAAATGTTTTGCTGCCTTTCATCCATTGGTTCTCTTCTCCTGCAAGAAACCAAAGCGAAAAACAGGACGAGTAACAGCGGATCAGTAAGAAATTCAAAGCTCAACAGAAATTCAAAGCTAAATAGAAATTCATACTAATTAGTAAACATTTATGCATAGTCATATATATTGTCACACTGTGAATTGGAGCGCAAAGGCGGAAAACTTCCAAAAAAGACAAGACAGTCATATATATCATCATATACATACAGTCGTTCAGAAAATTGATTGACTGGTGAACCGAAGGCGGAAAGGGAGAAACCGAGAGAAGCAGGGGGGCTGTGACGGACTATTTAATCCAGAGTTTCACCAACTCATCAGAAGGCTGGGCTACCTGTCATTTTGTGACTGCACTCCTTTTTTTCACTGCCCTCACCCTCTGCACCCGGAGTGTTTGGTGGGAATAATCAATGCCATCCACTGTAGACACCGTTGTGCTAGAAATGCTCACCTAGGTCTTCCATGTCATCACCGTACTCAGTCGTCCCATTCATGTCCTCTCTGCCGTCGGGGACAGACTGTCATTCCTACCATTCATGTTTGGAGGTGGGCATGCTCAATGCCATCCACTGTAGCAACCGTTGTGCTAGAAATGCTCACCTACCGTCTTCACCCGAATAGAACACCCGGTCATTAAAGCTGTATTCGCACAACTTTCGGTCCAGATGCGGTGATAATGACCGGGCGTTATATTCGGGTGAAGACGGTAGGTCTTCCATGTCATCACCGTACTCATTCCTACCATTCATGTCCTCTCTGCGGTCAAAGGACAGACTGTCAATCCTGCCATTCATGTCAAGCTACGACCCATAGACTTTCTGCAATACTGGTTCTACACCATTCTCTAACCTTTGTTGGGGTTTTCTCAAGACTGCTTTCCATAGGTCTTTGACTGAGACATGGACTGAACCCCATTGTACTGGATTGAGGGCCACTTCCAAAATCATCGAACCCTACATACCTGCGGCGCATTCCGCACAGCGCATGCAGGGCGCGCACTTGATGCACCCCACCTGCAAAAATAGGGGTCCAAAAAGAAAAAAGAAAAAGCGGGAAGACGAAAAGCGCCCAAACCCGCAGGGGCCTCAATGCCATCCCACCCATTTTGTACTGTTTGAGCCCCTGCAGCGCATATTATATCACCTCACTTACAGGCTAGAGCGATGTAAGTACTACAGATAGATCTGAAATCCGGCTATCATCAAATAGAGGTAAACCCTGAGCATCAGCATCAGCACCAAAAAAAAGCATTACAGACCTGGTACGGGGCATGAATCAAGTATAATAACTTGGACAAGTTCATATTTGTCTATCTTCTAGTAGATGGCATACTTAAAATTGAGGGTTCTAAAGAGCTGCACTTGGATTGCTCAGACAGCCCCAGTACACGATTAATGCTTCCAAACGTGAGTTCGGCAGCACTACCAAAGCTACATACATGGCTACCGTCTTCACCCCAAAAGAGCGCCTGGTCATTATCGCTGCATCTGGACTGAAAGTTGACCCAAATACGGCTCAAATTTGACGCAAATAAGGCTCAAATTTGACCCAAATATGGCTATTCGGGTGAAGACGGTAAAGATGACGGCTGAAGGTCATGAATAGATCATGAAAACAAGATCGGAAAAACTAGGGGTTAGTTAGATTGGGCTCTCTCTCTCTCTCTCTCTCTCTCACCCGCATCTTGGACGCACGCACTTACATGCTTTTTTTATATGATCGTTGGAAACAAAAAAAAAAAGGGGGGGGGGGGGGGAAACTAGGGGTTAGTTAGATTGGGCTCTCTCTCTCTCTCTCTCTCTCTCACCCTCATCTTTCTCTTATACACATCTAGATGTGTATAAGAGACAGGCTGTGGGGAGTTCATTGGGTAGGGATGGCGATGCGGCCAGGACAGAGGGGGATTACGTGGACGACAACTATGGGGATGGATGGTACAAAGTCC